CTTATATCTTTAAAAATGTCAATAGTTCACAAGATATTTGTTAAATTACACTGTAATTTCTTAACAATTGACATTTTTAAAGATATAAGCTCATCCCGATGTTACACTCATCAAGAGTTTTCATTTGAGTACCCACATGCATTTTTGATATATTTTTCATATATACATATATATAAATATATGAAAAATTGATGTGGGTACTCAAATGAAAGGTCTCGATAAGTGTAACATCAGGACGAGCTTATCTCTTTAAAAATGTCAATAGTTCACAAGATACAGATCACAAAAAGATTTTATCATGTGACTATGAAGGCAAAATTTTTCCACAGATTATTAATAAAAGTAATAATAGTGGGAATCCCGCGGAATTTAGGGAGCTATTTACCGAGACATTACGCGGTGTTTATTTAAACATTTATTACAAAAACTGTTTTGTAGTTAGCTGGTACTAATAATTACCATATACGCGTGTGAATTGGCTTACTCGGCTGGCGCCCAATTTACCAAATTTCACACCAGTGTATAGTAATTATTCTTGCTAGTTACAACACTAATGTGCAATTGAATTAAATGTTCAAAATTAAAAATAAAATTTTTTATTTCTAAAAAAATTCATAAAATATTATATTAAAAAAATTTGACCCAAAAAAAAAATAATTTTTCTTCAGTACTATCTTGATGTAATTTATTTACTTGAGTGAGTTTATATTGGTGTGGTATCAAGGATAATAATAGGAATAAAAGGTAGTCTTGAGATATCGTAGCTGTCAAATATAGGGGGGGGGGAAGATATAGGAATGAGAAGTGCAATTGAAGGGATAACATTTTGTCTATGGATCGACAAGGTGTCGATGCTGTCTCTCGACGACAGGGTACTTCGGAAGTGAGAGATGGATTTGTACGTATAGTAAATGTCGGCGTATGTGTGGATGTGTAACGGAGAAAGAAAAAGAGAAGTGTATATAATAGTAGAATAAGGGAGCAGAGTGAAGTTACGAAGCGTCAAGAGGCATCGGGCGGAGGTTGCCGCCGGTAATTAATATGATTGAACCATCGTGTGGAAGAGGGCGAGAGGAGTAGTAGTGGTGGAAATTAACGAAGAGTAAGAGAGGTAGGTAGGGTAGCCCCTGCTTTGGGACTTTGACGCGGTGGGGTCGAGGGTCGAGTCTGGTGAGGAGACACGAATACCGCGGGGGTGTTTAGGGGATTCTGCTCTGCTGGCAGGGTTGCTCCAAGCGATCAATAAATGCCGCTGCTGCCAACCACTCCTGGACCACTTGCATCCCTCCTCTCCCTTGCTCTTTCTCGCTCTCGCGCCTTCAGACCACGCGCATATTCGTTCTCGTCGATAGACCAAGTATTTTCACATATATGTCCACATTTACGGGGGTCTATACACTATGAGGGTGCGAGCAAGAGAAAGAGAAGAGAAAAAGATGAGGCGATCCTCGCTTCCGTTCTCCCGCATCTCTTTTTGCGCAATAACCGTGTAACTGATTGAAATGTCTACGTATGCGAATTTTTATACCACTCGCTTGCAAAACCACCTTGTTTCTATTTTTTTTTTTTATTTTATTTATTCTAGTTTTTTTTAACTAATTTTACCATTTATTTGTCATGCAGATTTTTCACTAAAAAAAAAACAAAAACATTTTTTTTTTTTTACTTTTTTACTGGCAAGAGAACAATCGGTTCAGTGCTTCGTTAGAGTCCTGTACAGTTTACGTTTCTGTTCTTTTCTAATCCACATAGAAAAAAAATGTTCTTGAATCAAGTATATAATTTTGAAGAACTTCATCTTCTTGATTTGAATAAAAAAATTCTTAAACTAAGTAATTTTTACTTGATTCAAGACAATTTACCCTCTTCAAAATTATTTTCTTCGTTTAAAAATTTTCCTCTTGAATCAAATTAATCTTTTTTTCAGTGCACACTAAATTTCGTAAGTTCAAAATTATACGTATTCACACTACTGCGTTTTTATATTTAATGTCATATTGATAATGTTTATATGATGTAGTTTTATTGAAGCTATATGTAATCTGATGTTCATTGCAGGATATAAAAATTTTGACGTGTCATAAACTCGAACTATATGACCTGATATTACTATGAATTTATCGAGAAAAACAGGTCAGATGCGACCCTTAAAAGGAAAATAATAAATTTATTTTTTTTTCTTTGGATAATATTCTTGTTAATATTGAGTAATTTTTCACTGTGTATAATATGTAAAAAATAATTATTTTTGGTAATTATTTACAAGTGCGGTCTACTATTTAAATTTTCATTTTTTTGAACGGAATTTCTATTTTGTTTTATTGATCTATTTTTTTTTTTTTGAAAAATACATAAGAAAATGAGCAATTAAAAAAAAAAATTATCACAATTTTAACAAATTTTCAAAAAAATATATCAAAAAAAGATAAAATAGAAATTTTATCCAAAAACATAAGAAAAAAATGAATAATTAAAAAAAATTGATTATCACAATTTTAATAAATTTTAAAATTAAAAAAAAAAATTTGTAAATTTTTTAAAAAATTGTGATATTCAATTTTTTTAAATTGTTCATTTTTTTATGTATCTTTCAAAAAAAGATAAAATAGAAACTTTATCCAAAGTTTTTTCCAACTTTTCAAGGCAAAAAAAGCTATCAAAATCTTTATTTTTTTTCTTTTACGACATTTTTTATCATAAATGAGCCGTAAAAACAAGCAGAATAAAAAAAATTTGAAAATGTCAATTTTTTACCTAGATATGACCAAAAATAAGATGGACCCATTTGTAAATAATTACCTTAATTTTTTACTTTACATAAAATGTAAAAAATAATTTTTTTTTGTTGAAAATTTTTTTTCTCTTGAATTACGTTAATTTTTCTATTAGTGTCTTTAATTTAAATAAAAAAACCTTTTAATGACTGATGATAAAATTTTAAACTATTTAAAAACATTCTGAATAGTCTAGAAAATTTCAGCTAGAATAATTCAAAGAATATATTTTCGTATTCTGCTCAAACTTTTCTTTATATAATTTAAATTTTATTATCGACATTTACGTCATAATCTTGATATATAGTCATGAATAATGAATTTATAAATTGATATCTCTGAAATGTAATGCAACTAAAAATAAAAAATGTACAAACAATTTTTTTTTATTATTCAATTTTGTACGTTGTTGAATTTAAATTGTAAAATAATAATTCTGCGAATTTAAAATATCTCTCTGAATTTATATGTATCATGAAACTTCACAAGGTTTTTTATTTACCGAGAAAATCCATCGTGTTCAATAATTGGATAGATTATTTATTTACAGTAGTATTCAGGTGAATTTGTAATTAGTGAATTGTGAAAACCGATAGATTGAATCAATGTTTCATGTAAGCCGGTTATACTAAATTATTTTTATCCTGGCAATTAGTTGGGTTGTAAATAGAATTTAGTTTATAAAAGGTCATAGTATCGACGTCTTTTTATTAATTTATCTTTAGTAAGGATTAACAATTCAAAGAGATGGATAATAAGGAGATAAAATGTACATGAAAAATCGTCTGAAAGCTAAAAGGGATCAAAAAGGTTTACGTAGGTTTCCAGATGATACTAACGTCCTTTGGGACACGTTCGTAATCGAAAGACATCTGTAGAAGCGGTAGTAAAAATTATTCATCATAAAAAAAGACGGATTTTAATATAAAAAAATATTTTAGAATTTTTCTTATTGAAAAATTTATGAGAAAACAAATTTTTCTTTAATTTTTATGTGTAGAAAATTTAAAAAACAATGCATGGAATTTTTTTAAATATTTTTTTTAATTCTAATTTAATTAATG